TGTACAAAAGCTGCCTCCTAAGCAATGGGCATAATTTGGCTGTACATTGTCACAACAGTTTCATGTTGACATAATTTTTATCATAGAGCAGAATAAACAGTAACATTTTATTCTGTTGCAAATTGAATACAACACTTAGCTCTTTTCTGATAGAAAAAAAACCCCTTAGAATTAGTATTTTAACATTTACTAGAAGAACTAAAGCACTGCAATGTATTGCTTTCAGCTCAGTCCTAGAGGAGCCAGTTTACAATACTGGCATTATTACTAGTGGCCCTAACTTCCAAGCAAACCACAGAGAAATCAGGGGTTTTGTTTGCTCACCATAAAAAGTCTAGGTAACAATATTAAAAGAATACTAGGAACACATACAGGTAGATGCACAAATGCTTCCATACTTGAGCCTTGCAGCATGACCAGTTACACTTTATTTTTTTCATCTGCTGAAAGTAAGGTACTTGATACTACGCACAGCTACAGCCAAACAAAGCATTTTCATTAACACATGTCTTTTCATTAGTTTTAGAAGACTAGTCCTCAACTTTTATGTGGGCAGGAACACAATAAAAACAGTTCTGTAGCTCTAGTCAAAAGCATTTGCAAAAATGAAGAAATAGGTGCTGTGCAAACAGACATACCTAAAATACTATGTTAAAGACTCTTGTTTGAGTATTGTTTTACTCAATCTCCCATCCCAACATAAACAATTAAAATCAGAGTTTGAGAGCAGAGGTTGACTGGCACATTTGGGAGCATGAGTACCAAAAGCAGCCTAAAGCCTATTTTCACTTGTGTTTATCCTATGATCTCTCTGCAAAAGAAGTTGTCAGCCCCAGCCACTGAAACACCAGTTACTCTCCTGATCCCATCAGTGATCCGTGTGACCTTGGATATATACAATGTTCCCAATGACTTGTAGGAGACCCACTCAAGTTACATCCTGCAAGATTCATCATCCCTTTTTGTCCCAAGTCTAAGCAGCACAAACACGTTGCCATCCCCAGAATAGCAGTGCCTCTTGGCAAGGTTTGTGCAGCCCTATTCTTCATCCTGGGATTGGTGCCAGCAGGGAAGTGCCCAGGCCAGCTATAGCCAAAACTGATTCTGTACAGAAACTTAATCCTCAGGGCCACACCCATTTCTGCCAACTGTTCTTACTACTGACGGCAGCATGCATTTAGCATTTTAACTTAAAATAGCTTTTTTAACATACTTACCTTGAAAAGTCAAAGCAAAAACTGCCTGTAGCATCTCCCCCTCTAGGGCCAAGGTACTGGTTTGGTCACATGGACACTGGTAGAAGAGGTGTTCCACTACACTTGCTCTCCATTCTCCAAACCAGGATAAAATAGTTTTGGTACAGGAGAGACCATGCCAGTTGCTTAATTATGAAAAAAAGAAGCAGCATGGGGAGAGGAAAACACAGATAATTTGGGATCCATCATCTGTTACTAGGTCACTGTATTCCCACATACTGTTGCGGTCAAACTCCCTCTCTCTTGCACACAAAGCTGCTGTTGGCAGAAGCTCTTATCCTGGAGATAACAGCTCTGCTTGGATCCAAACTAACTCATCTAGCTCTGCCAAATGAGTCTCAAAATATATTCTCTACCATAGCTTTCTAGATTGACAGCCTACAAGCAGGTTTTTTTTTGACAGCCTGCAAGCAGGTTTTTTTTCTGGAGTTTCACTCATTCTATGTTAGGAAATACAAGAAACGGTAGCTTTAACCTGGAAGTGGGCTGAAAACCCAAACTTTACATTTGTCTACCTAGAGTCAACAGCTTTTTTACAGATGCGATTACCTCTGTGCTGTGAGAGCAGTAAGTGAAGTGTACTGCTGCTGTTACACTGCTGCTTATTTAAACAGATGGATAATATAAACTATTTAACATTTCCATGCAACAAAGAATTAAGGTAGACAATTTGATGACTAATACAGGGAGTGGTGTTTCCATGTGTGGCCCCTGCTATGAGATGGGGACATGCAGCATAGGCTTATGTTCAAAATTGCAGTTTTTTCTCCTGATACTAGCAAAGGCATGCAGTAAGGATTATGATAATTTTGGCAATCTCCTGTAAGCAGAAGAAAGGAATACTCAGCATATTCAGACTCTTGAAGAAATCCAAATGGTTGCCAAGTCAAAAATGTCATAGAATTGTTTAGGTTGGAAAACAGCCTTGAGATCATTTGAGTTCAACTGTTAACTCAGCACTGCCAAGTCCACCACTCATTTATATCCCAAGGTATCACATCCACACTTCTTTTAACTACCATCAGGGATGGCAATTCCACCACTTCCCTGGGGGAGCCTGGTCCAATACTTGACAATGTTTCCAAGAAGAAATTTTTCGCAATATCCAATCTAAACCTCCCTTGGCACAACTTGAGGTCATTTACTCTCATCCTATTGCTGGCTGCCTGGGACCCCCACGTGGCTCCAAACCTCCTTTCAGGCTGTTGTAGAGTCATAAGGTTACGCCTGAGCCTCCTCTTCTCCAGGCTGAACCCTCAGCTCCCTCAGATGCTCCTCTGAGGACTGGTTCTCTACTGAGTCATGGATTCACCTGACACAGCAAGTGCATTCAGCAGCTAACTCTTAAGAGCACACTTTCTGCAGTACACATACACACACAGAGCAGACTCCTCCAGCCGCTCCAGAAAGCGGCATGCTAGCATCTGGTTATGATTAACACAGCCTCTGAGTAATGCCACTTGCTAACAGCCTGTCCTGCTGGTGACTCAGCCTGTGGCTGCGGAATGTCTGCAGGGCACAGATGAAGCAAGCATCAGAGATCAGAAAATGAACAAGCCATCAAGTGCTGCAGGTTTGGCTTGGAGCCAACAGCAGCACTCTGCCTTGCAACAGAGGCCCAAGTGTGTGTGTGTTTTCCTCACCTTCCTGCACTAGCTGTCTTTTTGAAGACATCTGAACTCTGGTTTCTTGTATGCACTAAGGCTGTGTTAATCAGCAAGACAAAAGCATACTGCACAGGAGCCAGATGGCCTCATAGCAGTTTCTAGATGAATAAATCTTATCAGACAGAAGGAAGTAGAAGTCTCCTCTCCACAAAGCCTCTTATATTTACTGGGCAATATAGCTCAGTCAAAGACAAAAAATGGGTGCAGAAACAGACATGGCTCTGGAAACTCATTGACTAACAAACTGTCTCCAATGAAATACTTCCTGCTCAAATGTCATCTTAGAAGAGTAGGAGGCATTTGTACCCCTAAATTAAAGGATGGTACTATGCAAAGCCATGTTTTGCAGCTATTACATAATTGAGTGAACACAAGGACAGCTCTGAGCACAGCAAGTGTCTGAACCAGGACACAAGGACAGGATTTATGGTATTTTGAAGTAGTTTGCATAGGAAGGGTTTGATTTGCACTAACTTGCCACCTGCCCACGTGGGAGGTTGCCATGAATCAAACTCATACACAGAAAGCCCCAAGACAGCTAAAGTTCATAATTTCCTCTTCAAGATCTTTCCAGACAAATTCTTTTGCATGCAATCAAAAGAATATGCCGCAGGCACTCCAGAAAGCAATATTCAAGCCACAAGAAGTTAGTAACTACAAAATAAAGAACTCTTTACTTTCTTGCCAAAGGCTGAATTTTTTCCAAGCCTAGTAGGTTAGCTAAACAAGGTCTCAAGTCCAGGCAGTTCAAGACATCATCTATTGTTTTGTATGCATCTAGAGAGTTGTATTATCTAATGTGACCCATTACCTTCAATTAATTTGAGCTAAGAATTCCTCCAAGCCACCACTGTTTACCCAGGCTGTAGCAGAACATGCCTTACACTTATTGGGACAGAGGTAAAAGCTCAGACAGCTTCAGATCCATGACAACTGTAATCCTGTCAGTATGAATTATAAACAATATATATTGCTACACACCTACCAAGGTTTTTCTTATCTCCAGGTTTGTCCTTCTGTGAGATTTAAGTATCACCTTATATTATTGTTTAACAAAACCATGTAAAAAGCTTTATTTTAAAAGCTTAAAAACTGCCTATACCATATTGAAAGCCACTCCTTCTGTGTGTAGATGTAGGGGGTTTTGTTTAGTTTGAACAACTGGTTCACTCACAGTGTATATTATACTATTGCCATGAGAGAGTGAAAATATTAAAATACAACAAATACAAAAAAAGTGAACTGAATCTGAGGTCTGTAAAAATTGTGGAATGTACATATTAAGTTAGCAACTTATGTCCAGGACTAGAGTTTAATTTTATATATACATTAACAACAAAAGTCCATAAAGTTGTTGATGTTTTCTGTGCTACCACTTAGCAGGGGGAAAAAAACAAAATCAGTCTTTCATGTTTTAAACTTTACCCTAAGGTAATTTGAAGATAATTTGTCCTAACTGGCTGGAACAATTTCAACTAAAATACAGTAATCCCTAAATGAAGCATTTCTAAATCGATCTTATCACTAATATTTACCATCCCTTTGCTTCCCTCACTCTTTCCTCTCTGTCCCTAAAAAATGCAGAAAAATAAAAAGGAATTTGAAAATACAATTTGATCTGCTGTTTTGTGCTTATGGGCTCAGCCACACTTGCTCAGTGCTTAAGGGTCATGTTTGCTTTATTTTAAAATAGGCTTTGCACATCTCATTCAATCAGACATGTTTCATTATACATTTTTATAAGGCTTATAAATTTAAAAGTATTATAAACCTTATAAATTTTATAAGATTTATAATACTTTAAATGTAACTAAATTTAAGTAGCATCTTCTTTCCAAATCACACTTGTCATTGGGCTCATTTTAGACATGACACACAAGCCAAGTACCATATTAAGTATTCTTAGGCATATTGAACATCATTCTACTTCTTGTCCCATATCATCACCTTTACAACTCCTAGTCTTTAACTGTATTAGACAAGCACCCTACAAAAGCAATATTCCTTCCAAGTAAATATTCAGTACTGGATAGCTAACAGGCTTTTGTTATCACTTAGATGGAAAGAGCATACTTACTGCTACGAAGAGCATGCAGTACATGGAGAATGAAGAATGGCCAGAATAAAATGATAGTCTGGAAAAGAAAACATCAGAAAACATCAGTTTTCTTTTACAACATTCAGTCTGCAGTAACAGTAACAGATATTATACAAGTGAACTGTTAAAATGCAAACATGTCCATACTACTCTTCAAGGAGGCTCCCTAGGCACATCACACAGATTTTGACAAAGAGTATAGAATACACTACTCAGCAGTTATCCTTTTCCAGAGTTAAGTTGATCTCTAAGTCAGGCAGTAAGTACTAGACTTTTGACTGAAGTTTGAACAGCAAGGGAACACATCTTCAAAGACAGTAATCAAGTGTTCTTTAATAGCTCACCTTGAAAAATGCCAGAATACTTTAAATATAATTACTTTTAAAAGTCACAGCATATGTATGAATATGAATTACATTAATCACCCCAAAACAATTACTATTACTTGCAATCAGTCAGCATCAAAAAGCAGTAGTTAACAACTTATATCTAGTAGTTTATATTACATTTGTACGCCTTTGTGAAATGTATGATTCATACATACCCTGATCAATTACCATTGAAAGGTAGGGGGACAGGCAGGAATGCAATTTATTAGCCAGTCAACTGCAAAAGATGACACTTCATCTAATATTTGTAGAAATTATTCGTACTTGGCAATATCATTGAGAGTGTCAACATTGTCTTCAGCTCCCAAAGGCTTTTACCAAGTCCAGGCTGAAGGGACCTGACACTTGACATTGACAGTCCCGATTCCTTTGACCAAGTCCTTCCCTGCACAGCTGGTTTTGTGAAGAGCCACAGATGTAAAATAAATGCCACCCACCTCTTCAAGAAAAGAAGGCAAAATGGAAAGACATTTCTAATTTATTCTTAAGCAGAGAGATGAAAGATCGGTACTTAGCACTACTTTTTTCCATTTTATGCACAGAGCCTTGTAGTGGTGCTGCTTCACAGGCCACCAGCCAGGTTTCAGCCAGCCTTCCATGCAATTTAACTACACAACCAGAGCACTCCCCCCGCAGCAGTTTGGCATACAAAAACATGGCCAGCTTAATAAAGTTTCATAGCTCTGCAGAGTGACTTCTACCATATCCACCAGGTCCCTTATTTTGGTGCCTCTGCCAGGCAGAGACACCGAGTTCAGTGAAATTCCTGGTCAAAGGAAACACTTCCACCCTTTAGACTAGGAGTAACAAAGGCAACTCTGACATGCAGCGAGATAATGAGGTTAAAGATGCCCTGCTCAAATACCACAAAGAAGGCAATGAAACAGTCTTGTGCACAAGTGAAACTGCAAAACTTGCTGAATTAGTTGGCACATATAGCATTTAGAAACTGCATCAAAAAAGTCTACATAGGTTTATTCCAAAGGTTTTAAAGCTTTTGGTTTGTGGTTGATATAAAGCACTGGCAATAGCTTTTGGTTTCAGAGGTACTTAATAAGCCATCTGAAATAACATGAATTTTGTTTCACCAACATATTTCCCAATTAGCTTCTTAAGAAGAAAAACTTTGACAATGTACTAGCTTCAGATGTTTAAAGTTCAAAACCATTAAGCAAGATATCCCTTTTCTATTCTTGTACTCAACACTAATATTTATGGGCAAGAGTCCACTATGAAAACCAACACAACAAGCATTTTGAAGAGCCCTGTCCTTCAAACATGTCATCTGAGAATGCAAAACATGCTGTTCAACAGAAAATATAGAGTAAGGAATTCTTGGCTCCTATGACAGTATTTAATCCAGTAGCTCTGGGGCTATTCCATATAAATAGAATGGACATAAAATTATATTTCCTGCAATTATTGAAAGCAACCAGTTCTCAGCTAAAGGAATTTAGAAGACTAGTAAGTGATAAAAGGAAAAAAAATACTATTCTTTAAGTTTATTTTGGATTCCCATAGCCTTTCAAAAGTATTCTTTGACTACTGGTCTTTTTGTTTCAGGAATGTATTAGCCTAAGGTACATTAAGAATGCCTTGTCCCAGGCTGAAGGTTACAAATTTTGAATGCATTCTTATCAGGCATCAATAAATATGCTGTACATGATTGAAAATATTGTGCTTAGCACATGAAGTATTGCCAGAAATACAACATGGGACAAAGTACTGATCCAACTTGCACTGTGCAATCCCAGTGAAACTTCTTTGGCAGTACTGCTGTCTCTAGACTTCTTTAAAAAACAGACATTAAAAAAAATCTTAAAGTCCTTTCAAAACATTAAGATTGACAATGAAAAATTTCCCAACAATTTATCAGCACATAAATAATGTCCTCCCAAAGCCTGGAGAATGTCATGTCTATCAGATCAGCCAAACTTCTTTGTGATCCTATTGCAAGTGCTGGTTTGCCATGAGCCAGCAGTAAAGGGCTATAGAAAACTCTCCAAATCCCTACCTTTCACCAGTGAAAGAAAGGCTCACTTTTCCCAGTAGGATTCACACATCAGATTTCAAAATATCCTTTTCAAAATAGTCTTAGAACAATATCCAGTTAAACTGAAGTATCAGAAATAGAACTGGCAAGTGCAGTCTTGATCTGCTTGTTTCCAAAATGGCCAATTCTGATATCAAAGAAGTGTTTTTAGAGGTCCATGTCTTTCACTTTATCAATACCTACCTCAAAGATGTCTTCCTACATCAGAAATAGCACTTCATTTTAACAGGAAAAAAACAAACTTTAATTACTTCCACTTGGATAATATATTATTCCCAAGTTAGAAAAATGCCTTTAGTAACATAAAGCCAGTTTCAGGTCTCAGTTGAAGTTTCAAGTATACTCCTAGTTTCCAGTGTACACAGTAGAGCTGGACATCATTAAAAGTCTTAAAACAAGGTAATTTAAGGGCTGTTTTGCTTTCTTGAAACTTAGCTTAGTCATGAATTTCACATGGTTTCCAATAAAGATAGAGACAGCAAAAAAGTAAAGACACAAGTAATGACATGGTAGTTCTTTAAAAGGTTGCCATAAGATTGACTACAATTTATCACTATGGCTTATTTCTGAATGTCTGCATTTTTAAAGACTACCTGGAAAAATAATCAAAGTACAAACAATTCCTACAAGAAGCATATCAGCTGAATGACTTTGTTATTTTAGCCAGGATTTCTAAGCCCAGATAAGCAAGACTAAGAGAGATTGCCTTGGAGGACTTGACATTGACAACCTTCTATTACTTTCCATGCACAAAGCCAGCTTAGCCCAGGGAGCAGAGCCAGCCTGACAGGTTATGTTTCTTCAATTAGTAGAAAAATTGAACATAGTACACAGCAGATAAAAGGATCATTTTTCTTGGACTGTGACTTAGAAGGAAGTGCATGTTTTAATATGTTCTACTTGACATTATTTTGTAAAGCACACAACTTCTTAAGTGAATTACTGTGCACTGGAACTCAGTAAACACGCCTGATGTCTTGTCTTCATTTAATATCTTCACATGAACACCTGAATGTGCAGAAGCTTTAGGACAAATGCAGGAATCTGACAGGGAAATTAACAGCCTTGGGAAAGACAAGGCTAGAGAACAGCTAAATACATATGGTACAGTGGAGCATTAAATGGTGAGAAATTATAGTAAATTACAGTAAAAAGAGATATTCCACAAGAAAAGGCATCCTGTGGTGCTTCAGTAAAACCTGGCAGAAGCTGAATGATAAGGACATCTTCCCAACATTAAGTACAGAATTATGAAACAATCCATTGGAGAAAAACAGAAAGCTTGGCAAAGCATTATACACACTCTCATATCAAAGCAAATAAATACACCCAGTTGGATTAGCCAGCATGTCTTTTCCATCTTCAAGTTCCCTGGATTCTCTCAGTCTGACTCAAAGCTTCCACTGACATTTGTGTTACCATTCCATGATCTGGAGGGGAATAAATGCCAGAGTGCTGCAGCATGCCTCTGTTGAGTAAGCCAATGCTTGTGACAAGCCAGCCACATGCTTGTCAGTTAAATATTCCTAGTATTTCAGTGCCATGATTTAAAGTCCTAGTTCTACACTTAAGGACCACATTCCTTAAAGTCAATTTTCTCTGCATTCAACAATCAACTTGTTATGACAAGATTCACTCTTTCCTCATGTGCTGGACTTGCACCACTACAACTTAAAAGATCACTGTGGGCTGGGCATTTTGAGGACTCTGAAATTAAGCACTTTTGTCATTACTGTGAAGAAAAGTTGAAATTAATACAAAAGGAGTTCACCTACTGAACAATATCAGGAATTACTCAGAACCGCATGTTCCCAATTTCTCCACTTTTCTCCTAGTCTGTCAGTAATTATACCCATACTCGAGTAAAAAGCTATACATTTACACATAGGAAAACACTGTTAGAGTATTTCCAATTCAGTAATCTTCATCTGGAAAATTTTGACAGCTTTTTCAACAGGAGACCTAGAATTTAAAAGTAAGTATCTTGCACAACTCTATAATCTTGTCTGGGGTGAAGGGTGGATCCACTCATCTCTTCTTTATGCAGTGGCAGATAGTGAGGAAACTGCCAATGTAATGTAATGACAGCTAAGACATTATTTGATACCACAACCATGTTTTTGCAGACTTCCCACTTTTTTCCTTTTACAGTCTACTGACATAAACCCAATCTAACAGTTTCTAAGAAGAGAGAGGTATTTACCAATTTCTAACCACCATCCTAACGACCAAGCCTTTGAAACAAACACTGCTGATTGTGCAAGAAACAAGGGTATAAAGTAACTTTTCTTCAAGCTCAGCATCAACATGAACTAGTTTTAATCAGCAGTAGAGTAATGCAAGAGTTGTCTTAAGTGCTAGATTGACCAGATTCTGAAGCTGGTTAAAAGATTTTGCTGGCATGATTTGCTGGGGTTTTGTTTCTTTACTCTCCAGGAACTGAATAAATTTACTGATGATACTTTCAGGCATGCAGATATTCTGTAAATTCTTATTTGAAGAAAAGTATTACACACTGATGGAACAACCTAACAGAGCAATGACTACCTAAGCTATCTATTTTGCATCTGACAGCAGAAGTTTGTATCAGCAGCT